AACCACACCCGCTGCCCTGGAGTCCATTCTGACCCACAGCACCGCTGGAGGACAGAGTGGAACTGCCCACAGGGTTTCCCAGGCTGTCTTCTTTGCAGATGACCTGGTCTCTCTCCTGGGAAGCCCCTGGTTCCAACTGCCCAGCTTTAGTTAGCAGCCGAGTGCTTAACCACTGGGCCACCGGGGCCCAAGCCTAACTTCCTGTGGTTGCTCCATAAGAGGGCTGGCCCTATGGCTGTCCTCTCACACTCCGCCTCTCTCAGCTCGGTATCTGGGATGAAGCTGACGCTGTTGGCCGAGTCCGGGGCTCTGACCAGCTACAGTCACCGCGTGTTCTCCGCCTGGAATTTCGGCCTCTGTGAGGACGTCCACGTGCAGCTGCGCCAGCGCATCATCCGCTACGAGTTGCAGGTGCGGTTAGGGGGCGGAGTCTACAAGTGGGTGGGTCTAAAGGGGGTGGGGCTGAACGAGACTGGGACCTAGAGCAGGGCAGGATCTTTGCATGCTAAGCTGGGAGGACTTCCTTCTTGAGGTCCAAGGGGACTGGAGAGAGCCGCCAGAAGGGGCGTGGCCCAAAAGGGGCGGGGTTACATAAAGTGGCTTAAACAGCAGGATAGGGCTGAGAGGGGTGGGGCTTGGTGATGGGCGGGGCTTGGGGCGAGGCTAGAACTAAGTTGCTAACTCCAGGTGGGCAAAACGTGCTGGGCGTGGCCGGCGAGGGGCGGGGCTTGAAGCTGGGCGTAGTCGAGGAGGGGCGGAGCTTGGAAGATGGGCGGGGCCAGCCGAACTGTGTGTAGCCCAGGGAGCCCTGGAGGGGTCAGACCGCATCAGTTCAACTGGAGGCGGGACTTGGGACCACTGGACAGGCCTGGAGGCATGGAGACGAGGGAGAACTCTCTTCTGGTCTCAGATGGAGCTGGAGGAGGAAGTGCTGCGGCGCCAGGCTGCCGAGCGGACCCTAGGCCAGCAAGCCAGGGTGTGGTTGGTGCGGGGGCTGATCAACCTGCTGGTGTTCGCGCTGCTGGGGGCAGCGTTCTATGGAGTCTACTGGGCCACGGAGCGCACCGTGGAGCTACAGGTGCGGAAGGTCGCGGGGGAAGAAGAGGTGGGAGGCCCCGGAGTTTGGAGGCCCAAGGGAAATGGCTCCTGATGTCTAGGATTCCCAGAATCTTATCAGAGGAGGGGGAGGTTGGGCCCAGATTTCCGGGGCTCGCATGAAGACGAGGCTGGGGAAGGACTTTAAGCGTGGGTCTTAATGGGGCTCCTCCAGAACCCCAGCTCATCTTCCGTTGGTCCCCCGTCTCTCCCAGGAGCAACCCTTTGTCCAGCAGACGCCACTGCTAAAGCTCGGGGTGGACTACCTTCCGTCCATCTTCATCTCCGGGGTCAACTTCGTGCTGCCGCCCGTGTTCAAGCTCCTCGCCCCGCTGGAGGGCTACACTCGGAGCCACCAGATTGTTTTCATCCTGCTCAGGTTCTGGCCTCCTGGGCCTGGCGTTGCGGGGCGTTCGGGGAGCTGGTTGGTGGGAGGGAGGTGGGTTCTGAGAGAGAAGACACGGAAATCCTGAGGCCATGGGATCCAGGGAGATGCATTCATCGTGACTGTCACTGCACCTCAAGGAGCTCTGGTAGCATAGTGCCTAAGGAACTTGACTGCTAACCAGAAGGCTGGCAGTTCAAACCCACCAGCCACTCCTCGGAAGGTTGGGCAATCGATTTCTGTAGTGCTATCGCTCGGAAGCCCAAGGCGGGGTCGCTATGAGTGGATCCCACTCGATGGCAGTGGGTTGGGTTTAGTTGGGTTGGTCACTGAACTTGAGCCCTCTGGGACCTGGGGTCGCCTGGCACGTGGCCAGCACGCAGCCAGCGCTAACCCCTTTCCCCCATTCCCCGCCAGGACCGTGTTTCTCCGCCTCGCCTCCCTCCTGGTCCTTCTCGTTTCTCTCCGGAATCAGATCACGTGCCAGGGCAACGCCCAGGCTGAAGACTGCAAAACCTGTGGCTACAATTACAAAGAACTTCCGGTGGGAAGGACGGGGGCGGGACTCCCGGGTCTCAGGGAGGAGGCGCCTGGGGGCCCAGACCCCTAAGCCCTGAGGTCGAACGG